AGAGGAGAGAGAGAGAGAGAGAGGAGAGAGAGAGAGAGAGAGAGGAGAGAGAGAGAGAGGAGAGAGAGAGAGAGGAGAGAGAGAGAGAGAGGAGAGAGAGAGAGAGAGAGGAGAGAGAGAGAGAGGAGAGAGAGAGAGAGAGAGGAGAGAGAGAGAGAGAGGAGAGAGAGAGAGAGGAGAGAGAGAGAGAGAGGAGAGAGAGAGAGAGGAGAGAGAGAGAGAGGAGAGAGAGAGAGAGAGAGAGGAGAGAGAGAGAGAGAGAGAGAGAGAGGAGAGAGAGAGAGAGGAGAGAGAGAGAGAGGAGAGAGAGAGAGAGAGAGGAGAGAGAGAGAGAGAGAGAGAGAGAGAGAGAGAGAGAGAGAGAGAGAGGAGAGAGAGAGAGAGAGAGAGAGAGGAGAGAGAGAGAGAGAGGAGAGAGAGAGAGAGGAGAGAGAGAGAGAGAGAGGAGAGAGAGAGAGAGAGAGAGAGAGAGAGAGAGAGGAGAGAGAGAGAGAGGAGAGAGAGAGAGAGAGAGAGAGGAGAGAGAGAGAGAGAGAGAGAGAGGAGAGAGAGAGAGAGGAGAGAGAGAGAGAGGAGAGAGAGAGAGAGAGAGAGGAGAGAGAGAGAGAGGAGAGAGAGAGAGAGGAGAGAGAGAGAGAGAGAGGAGAGAGAGAGAGAGAGAGAGAGAGAGAGAGAGAGAGAGAGAGAGAGGAGAGAGAGAGAGAGAGGAGAGAGAGAGAGAGAGAGGAGAGAGAGAGAGAGGAGAGAGAGAGAGAGGAGAGAGAGAGAGAGAGAGAGAGAGAGAGAGGAGAGAGAGAGAGAGAGAGAGAGAGAGGAGAGAGAGAGAGAGAGAGGAGAGAGAGAGAGAGGAGAGAGAGAGAGAGAGAGAGAGAGAGGAGAGAGAGAGAGAGAGAGGAGAGAGAGAGAGAGAGAGAGGAGAGAGAGAGAGAGGAGAGAGAGAGAGAGAGGAGAGAGAGAGAGAGAGGAGAGAGAGAGAGAGAGAGAGGAGAGAGAGAGAGAGAGAGAGAGAGAGAGAGAGGAGAGAGAGAGAGAGAGGAGAGAGAGAGAGAGAGAGAGAGGAGAGAGAGAGAGAGAGAGAGAGAGGAGAGAGAGAGAGAGAGAGAGAGAGAGGAGAGAGAGAGAGAGGAGAGAGAGAGAGAGAGGAGAGAGAGAGAGAGGAGAGAGAGAGAGAGGAGAGAGAGAGAGAGAGAGGAGAGAGAGAGAGAGAGGAGAGAGAGAGAGAGAGGAGAGAGAGAGAGAGAGGAGAGAGAGAGAGAGAGAGAGAGAGAGGAGAGAGAGAGAGAGGAGAGAGAGAGAGAGAGGAGAGAGAGAGAGAGGAGAGAGAGAGAGAGAGGAGAGAGAGAGAGAGGAGAGAGAGAGAGAGAGAGAGAGGAGAGAGAGAGAGAGAGAGAGAGGAGAGAGAGAGAGAGAGAGAGAGGAGAGAGAGAGAGAGAGAGAGGAGAGAGAGAGAGAGAGGAGAGAGAGAGAGAGGAGAGAGAGAGAGAGAGGAGAGAGAGAGAGAGAGAGAGAGAGAGAGAGAGAGAGAGAGAGAGGAGAGAGAGAGAGAGGAGAGAGAGAGAGAGAGGAGAGAGAGAGAGAGGAGAGAGAGAGAGAGGAGAGAGAGAGAGAGAGAGAGGAGAGAGAGAGAGAGAGGAGAGAGAGAGAGAGAGGAGAGAGAGAGAGAGAGGAGAGAGAGAGAGAGAGAGAGAGAGGAGAGAGAGAGAGAGAGAGAGAGAGAGGAGAGAGAGAGAGAGAGAGAGAGAGAGAGAATGCCCTATAGTCAATCTTCTGTTGTACATGGATGATCTCAAACTGTTTGGGAAGACAAAAAAGCAACTCAACACCTTGATGAATATTGTAAGAATATTCAGTGAGGATATCAGGATGGAATCTGGTATCAAGAAGTGTGGAGTACTTGTGATCGGTAGACAAAATCAAAGAGCTTGACATCGAGGAAGGATACAAGTACGTAGGGGTGCTTGAAGCAGATTTTATAAAGAATAAGATCATAAAAGAGAATGTTCGAAAAGAGTACATCAGACGGGTAAAAAAGATACTGAAGTCAAAGCTTAATAGCAGAAATACCATAACTGCAATTATCGCAAGAGCTGTATCAATTATAAGATACACAGCAAGGATAGTAGGCTGGAAAACAGATGAACTCCAGTCATTAGATCGCAGGACAAGGAAGCTGTTGACTACATACAATATGTTTCACAGCAAAGGAGATGTAGATCGATTATATCTGCAAAGACCAGAAGGAGGAAGGGGTCTAATAACCATAGAAGATTGCGTCCTAATTGAAAAGTCCTGTCTGTACAGCTATGTATCTGTGAGCGAAGAATTGCTGTTAAGGGAGAGTTTGAACGAAAGTGTGGTTGCTGTGGGTTCTGATAAAGAATCTGTTTTGACCAACAGAAAGAGTAGATTTCTAGAGAAGAAACTTCACAGTGTCTTCTTCAAAGCAACCGAATTCAGAGACGTGAAGAGTTGGGAATGGTTGAAGAAGACTGATGGCTAG